CTGTTGCTGTTGCCTGTTGCAGTTGCTGCTGCTGTTGCCGTTGTTGTTGCTGTTATTGTTCTTGTTGTTGTTGTTGTTGCTACTGTTCTCTGCAGCTGCAGATTGTGTTGCTGTTGCCGTTGCTATTTGCTGTTTGCTGTTGTTTGTTGTCGGTTGTTCGTTGTTGGTTGCTTGTCGATTGTCGTTTCGTCGTTTTGTCGTTTGTTGGTTGTTGTGTTTTGGTGTTGGTTGTTAGCTGTTGGCTGTTGTTGCTGTTGCTGTTGCTGTTGCGGTTGCGGTTGCGGTTGCGGCTGCGGCTGCGGCTGCGGTTGTTGTTGTTGTTGCGGTTGCGGTTGTTGTTGTTGTTGTTGTTGTTGTTGCGGTTGTTGCGGTTGCGGTTGCGGTTGTTGTTGTTGTTGTTGTTGCTAGCTTGCCTTGGTGATTGAAACAACTGTCCTTCCTCGTCCCACTCTTTTTTGTTCTTTTGGTTTCTCCTATAAATCCAGCTTCACTGCGAATGTCTGCTTGAGTACCGCAAGCATAGCCCTGACCCTCAAGGACCGACACTTTCCGTCTGCACCCGAAGCCAAACAAGATATGCTTTAAGCTTTCGTAAACCGCAGTCATGCGCACATCTAAATTCAGAGGGACAGAACCCCACGAAACCTCGAAGACACTGGACAGTTGAAGCTTTTGCCACCAAGCACCATCATCAATCCTAAACGCCGTGAGTCGCAGGCCATGAACAGGCTGAAAGGCCAGACCCCATAATCATAAGATCTGTGCGACTGAATCACCCGATCTCCAAAAGTTAGTGATGCCTCACCTGGAGCCTAGTTCTGAAAACTATACAATCATGAAGCCCAGGGCCGGACAGGGCCACTGGGTTTTGCCTCTGGCGCCTCTTCCTGGGCAGGCTGCCTTGCCAGCTTAGCTGTGCTAGGAGCTGGATTGTTCCGGCTTTGGTGGGGGCAAAGGACGTGCAAGCAAATCGCACAGTCCAGCCTCTCATTGTTGAGCGTTCCCTTTGTGGCAGGCGCCTGCCGCAGTGCTCTTGTTTCAAACGGCCTTACGGCTTCGGGACCGGAGAAAGCCCATGTGAATCTCATGGAAAATTCCAAAACCCAGCGCATCTGGGTCCTTCAAGGTTTTGGAGATGTTGGGAGCCTTGACTTTTGTGGACCCTCTTCTCATGGCTTGGAGCGATTTAATAGGCCGCAAAATTTAGAAGATTCAAGATAAGTTTCGGATATCGGTTGGCGACACACGGAGCTCGGCATCATTACGAACACCCTGCCATCCCAGATGTCCCTGATGAATGATAATCTAATGTTTTTCGGGAACTGATTTCTGGGAAAGGCCTTTATGCAAGCTTTCTCTTTTTTGTTGGCAGGGAGGGCCACTCTCAATTTCTCCAAGGCAAACCCCGGCCCAGCAGCATGCGTGTGGCAGCCCGAATTATCACGCGCTCTTCTGCGCCCTCTGTGTTTGCAACGTGGCTCCAAAAGAACAGCCGCTCCGAGCTTTGGGGGGACGCGTGTTACGAACAGCAGGAACTGCAGTACGCCCTGGTCAGTTATGCAGGATGCTTGCGTGCAAGCGGCTCGAAGAAGCACCTCGTCTGCTGGCTGATCTTCAGCCGTATCCTGCTTTTCAGCTTGTCCAATCTGGGACATTTGGCTTATGTAAGGCTTGGGTGGACTCACTGCCGCTGTGCTCAGGAATGCTCGCGAATGGACACCTTGAACCGGCAACTGCATCGTGGGTTAAGGAGGTGAGGCAGAAAGTCTGCAGTCGAGTTGAGCAAAAACGACTTTTGCTGAGGCTTCCTTTCGGGCACGCCTGTCTGAAAATAAGATTCCTTCAGCGCCACGCCACCAGAAGACTTTGATTCCAATGCCCTCCACCCTGATCTGTGAACTGTTGGTCTTAGCGCCTGAAACCAAAACAACAAAATCATACGTCATACACAAATCCTCAACTCTCAACCCTGACCGTTTGCCTTGGCCCCGGCTTTGGCTCTGCGAGCCCATCGTTTGGGGGGGTCGAAAGCCACCTGCTCAAAACCGTTGAGCCATAATCATCACAAGTCACCGTTGTCGTCTGCAGCTGCTACTTCAACAACCGCTTCCAACGCTGCGGTTGCTACCTTGCTACGGCTATTGCTACTACAACGCCGGCTTCGGGGCTTTCAAGGCTCACTCAAGCCATGGCGCTGCTTCGGCAACAGCAGCATTGGCTTCCATCCGGTTGCCGTGGCGAACTACTGCTTCAGGCTCTCTGTCGGTTGTAGAGTCGTGGCGTGTTGAGTGTGGAGTGAGTTTGCTGCACGAAACGTGTCCGGAAGCACGGTGCTGAACATGATGCATTCCGGGGGCTGGGCTGGCCGAGCTTTACGGTGTGAATGCGTGTGAATGTTTGTCTGTCTTATCAAGGACGATGGCAGGTCGAGGCATGCGACCGTCTCGAACAATCTGTCGTTTCACGGCCAACGTCGATTGGCGTGTCATGGTGTCCATATGTGTCCATAGTTGCCAAAGCGTTCTTGAGCCTCAATCGTGTTTCAGACCTCATTGTGCTGACTGATTCATGCCAAGGAACTGCTTCAAGGAGTTTAGGTCCCCAGAAATGAATAGACCTTGGAAGGCAACTCATCCACAGCTTGCGGTGGGACAGCCGTCAACAGTCGAAGGCTCCTCCTGTGTCTGCGTCCAAGTCTACTTCAAAAACGAAAAACTTCTCCAACACCCAAACTCCAACTCCCACACCCCAGAACCATCATAGAACATGGAGAAAACGAGCTTCGACGAGCAAGATGCTACAAGACTTGAGTAGGTGCCTTGCTCAAAGCTTCAAAACGGCTTGTACATTGAAGTCGCGCCTTCTGCAAATGATTTGGTTTCGGGTTTAGGGTTCACTCTATGTCTGCAGCAGAACTCAGATGGGATGGCTGCACCGAGGGTGTCACGACTCGTTGACGTCACCGAGCCAGTAGGCCTTAACACCTTCCATTTTCGCAGAGTACTCCCTCAAAAAGCCTGACGCTCCCGCCGTCTGACGTCGAGCACCGCCCGCCGATTCTGATGGCATCTTTTTGCTGCACACAGGCTTCAAAGCCGATCGGAGAAATTGCCAAGGAGATCTACATCCTAACTTCGATTGTTGAAGTATCCGCGGCTCCTGACAAACAGTTCGAATCTCTGAGCCAGTCTCCTGGGCCTACGAACCCTAGGGTTTGGAGTAGGAGGTTGAGTGCAGACCTGGGGCGTCAGATTTTATTCGAAACTGGATTGGAGTCTTACGTTGCATCTTCCGGGGAACTTATGGAGAAAATGCAAAGTAAAGCTGATCATTCGTTGCAGAAACATACCTTTGTTCACATTACTTTCGGGTAGCACCTACCAAGCGATGGACACCTACAAATTAAATCAGGTGAAACCCAGCAGCCTCTCAGCGCTCCTGTTGTTCCAATGCACCTTCTGCCTGGCAGTTTGCGTTCTCCGAAAAAGTTGACATCACCAGCTGTCTGGGACACGGTGCTTCGCACTTACACAAAGGCCTGCACTTTGCCTGACGGCATGTCCATTTGTCTATCTACCACGAGCCAGCTTCGTTAGGGCCGTCTTTAATGCGTGTTGTGCAGCAGTCAAACCAACATCGAGACAACGCAAGCATGTGCGTTACGGCAGTGGCAGCAGCACTAATTCTGGAGATGCTTGCATCCGCTGGCCAGCTGCCCCTGCTGCGTACAGAGGAGAGAGAGAGAGAGAGAGA